ATCCATCCATCCATCCATCCATCCATCCATCCATCCATCCATCCATCTCTGTGTCTGTCTGTCTGTCTCTCTCTCTGCCTCTCTCTCTCTCTGCCTCTCTCTCTCTCTCTCTCTCTCTCTCTCTCTATCTCTCTCTCTCTCTATCTATAATATATATATATAATATCTATATTATATATATATAATATATATATTATATATATATATTATATATATAATGTGTTTTAAACCCTTCCCACACTCTTGCAATATTCTAAACAATGTTTCTAAACGCTCTACAAGAGCAGACTGTCATGATTTCATCTCTCTGCCTCCTCTGCTTTTTGCCACCTGCAAGCGCTCTTGGCCACGCCCACTTCTCCAGTCTGCATGGAGATCAGCTGATCAGCTGCAGCAGGGAGTTTATCCTGCAGTATGGGCTGCACAAAGGTGCAGCGGGTGCTAAATAATTTAAAGTAATTAATTTTAAATATAAATTCCATGCTGATCATGCAGCTCATCCATCAATCAGCCAGTCGTGTGTCATGTCCAGTCTTATTTTGAAAAACCACGATAGAGCGAGTCCACGATGAACGAACCGTGAAATAGCGACGGACTACTGTATTTATTATTATGAACTTATGAGTGCTTTGTTAATCCATTTTTGTGTTTGTTGTCATTTAAAATGAAGTGGCTATGTGGTTTAGACTTCCATTTCACATGATTAGTCACTCTTTCCTCTATTATAACTTTCAGAGAAGCTGATTGTTTAATAAAGCTCCACAGAATCCAGCTCTGACAGTAGCAGGGTTGCATCATTTGACTCTGTGCAGGACGATGTTCTCAGCCAAGGCAAAAACAATCTTTTTGTTGTTGTTTCTAATTCTTTCAGGGGATTGAGATAACGTCCACCAGTTCCAGTAACCACTACGTGACCGGAGTCGCCGCTGAGGTCAGACTGGTGTTGTTGTTTTTTTCTCTTTTGCTGTTGGCTCATCCAACAACCAGTGTTAACCATTATCAATCCTCCTGAAATGAAGGTCAACTTCATCTGAGCTTTGTCTCAGGTCAGAAAGTGCACTGACATGGGACCGAGTCAAGTGGAAAAGCAAAGAACCGTAGAGGATAACCTGAGTTCTTCGAATGCAGCAGTTTAGAGGGGTTTTGTTAAGGAGCAGCAGAATTACACGTCCGTAATAAGCTCTCTGCTCGACACTGTTAAATATAAAGTTTGTTTTTATTTATTTATGTGGCGGCCTGACGTCTGTAAAAGGCAGCAGTGTTCTTGGAAATGGAAATTATTTTTAGCTAGAGGCTCATCTGTCTTTACTGAGACGCGTTGAAACTGAAAGCAGTCAAACTTTATGTGCTGCAGACGTCTGTTGCTGTGCGCACGAGGCTGCTTGCTTTGAGTGCTGCATATGATGAACACGTTTAAACAAAAACAAACGTTTTTAAGATCTACTATTCTTAGAGAATACCATGTGAAAGGCAATTCAACTGGAGAGAATTGTGATTTCCAGCACTTAAGAGTTCAGCAAATGAACTGGAGATTATAGTTATGGACATTTCTCTAAGAAAGCTGAGGATCTCTTCAATCTGTGGGTTTGTAAACTCTACAAGAGACCAATAAAAGACAGAAGAGTGTTGTGTTTGTATAATGAAGCTAACGGCAGCTTTCCTGTGGGACTGAAAGATGAAGATATTATTTCTCCAAGTCTGCAGCTCTAGAATCCCCTGCTGCTGCAGCGTTACTGCGGCTGATTAATAAGCAATGTGTTTAACCAGATAAAAAGTACACGAGCTTAGAAATATTCTTCCTTTAGGTATAAAAAGCCTGGAGGTATATATATTATATAAAAAATTGTATTCATTATATAATACTTAGTTCTTTTTTAATTAAACTACCTACCGTAATTTCTGGACTATTGAGCGCATCCGAATATAAGCCACACCCACTAAATAAAAATATAAAATAAAATGTATACATATATAAGCCGCGGGTGTCCACGTTGTAACCAGTGTTGCCAAGTCTGTTTATTATAAGCGACTTTGGGCTCGTTTTTTTTTTTTCTAAAGTCACTTGCAACTCTTGTGAGTCGTGTGTTGTGGTTTTTTTGGGCTTGTTTTGAACGTGAAGTTTCTTAATTGGGCTTTACGTTCTTTCCGAGTGAAACTAGTCGATTATCTCGAAGCTCTGCACAATAAAGCAGAAGACGAGTGGTAGTAGGTAGTTTGTCCCTTCCACGCCCCCGTTTCCTGTTTATCAACCCGCCCAAGAAAAATATGATTTACATATTTGTTACATATGCAATTTTTTTTATCAGAGTTTAAAAGTATGTTATTCAAAGTGTTTAGCATAATGTTGCTGTTATGTGTAATGCCATAATAAATGTATGTTTATACTGTTTAAAACCACCTCTGTTTTACACAATGTGGTGGGTTGCCAGGTGGGCTTGTTTTCATAAAGCTGGTTGCTTGTTTCTATCGCGAGATCTGGCAACACTGGTTGCAACATGAAATATTTCTTTAAACTATTAATTAAATACATACCGATAACGTGCATAAATACATACAGTATGTGTTTTGTTTCTTTTCTGAAGATTGTAACACAGCTGGTAAAAAAAAAAATACAGTAGCCTACCAGGAAGTCATCGATCGCTATCTTCATCTTCCTCTTGCGCACTGCGCCCTTGAGCTTGTGCTATCCTCTTCATGCTGCAGCTGCCTTTCGATACCCGTTTGTGATAGAGGATTATTTTTTTACCCCGCTCCGCTGTCGGCATCCACTGGCAGACTTGAGCAAAAGTTGCTCTTTCTATGCGGACAGTTTTGGTAAACGATTTCTCGTCACCGGTCATCCAAGCCTCCCACCGAGCTCGGAGTGCCACTTTAATGCACGTTTCACACTTATTTTGAGTGGCTACAAATAAGGCTCAACAAAGTATTTGTAGCCTCCATCAGGGGAGGGGAGAACATGCTGTGACCTTATACAGGTAGTCTCACTGAGTCACGAAGACCCACCCCCAGGAGAGACGTGTATTGGGCAGCAATGCGAGCGCCCGGGTGTGACGAGGCAAAATGTTTTTTGTGCCTTGAATCTTGTTAGACCATTAAAAAACAAAAATCTATAAATCAGCCGCAGCATTGTGGTGTTCAAAGCTCGTGAAAAAAGTAGCAGCTTATAGTCCAGAAATTACGGTAATTTATCATTATCAAGTCACAGCCTCTGAAATAACATTTACGTTTTCTCAAGGTTACAGATTTAATTTAGAATGATTTGGCATAAACGTTTCAGTAGCACAATTATTCATTTCTCTGGAGAAAAAAAAAAAATCACTTAAAATAAATCTAAACCAGTACGTAGTGAATGTGACAATGTACATATTTGACTGCCTGTGCACACGGTTTAATACATGTAGGATGTGCATGCTGTCACTTATTGTTTTCTTCTTGATTGTTGCATTTTATTTATGTTTGTTGGTATTTTAGTGTTTATTGTGCCTGGTAAGTTTGACTGACCACTGCAGGACTGCACTTTTAGCTGCTGACTCTTCTTGATCATATCTTGATGTTTGTGCTTTCCCAAACGATGACACAGCTTGCTCCTGTAATCCTCTTTACTATGTATTTAAAGGTATCAAACAAAATGATAAAAAGCAGGACACATGGAGCTAATACATCATTCCTCTGACTTATTCCTGGGCAGTATTGTTGGGAGGCAGAGCTCTTATTTTTGCCACTTGTTGCTCTTTCTGCAGCCCTCCACAGACGCCTTTTTGCGGGTCTTGGCCGGTGATGAAGTGGTTCAAGTCAACGACCAGATAGTGGTGAGTGGTGCAGTAACACCCTGTACTTTTGGAGACCTTTCCACTGAATTGTATCGTATTGCCTTTAAACCTGAGGTCAAGTTTCCTGCCAAGTGTTTCAGCATCCAAAGCCATCGCGTTCAGACAGAAATAACCTGCTCTGGTGCTTCAGGTCGGCTGGAGCAGAGCGAACCTTCTTAAGAAGCTGCAGGAGAATCCCAACGGAGTGACCCTAGTCCTGAAGAAGATTCCTGCGTCAGAGCGACGCAAAAATTCCATCAAGGTTGTCTCTGTGCAGGTGAGCAATCATTAAAGTCCTTCTATGACCCCAAACTTAACTGTTCTACAACTTGGATAGTAAATTTTACAAACAAGCATCATGCTGTTGATGCAGTTATGGCGGTAACTGATATATTTTCTTAAAATATAAGAATAAACCATGTGATTCATGCAAAGTCTGGTTTATTTTCTTCGTGCTTTGCAAAGGTTTCGCCCTTTACACGAGCCAAACGGACTCGGGGTCAGAAATCTAGAATCAGCTCCTCGTTTTTTTACTTCACATGTTTATGGCCAGGGGAGCTCGAGCCTTAAGAAGTCTCCGTCGGTTTCCGTTTATTATTACTTGGGATTTGTTTCCATGAACCCAAGCAAGCCATCACTATGTTGCGCGTCTTGAGGCGAGTGCACGCACACACCCAGCATTTCACACCCCCGTGTGACCAGTATACCACGATCATCTCGGCTCTAGCTGGCGGCTCGGGGTGAGAGAAAACTTCAGAAGATGAGAATCAGCTGAGTGTGTCGGCTCCATATTGCTGTGAGGAGAAGGCCTTGATGTTACTGATTCACAGAGTTGGTGTGTGTGTGTGTGTGTGTGTCCACATGACATCATACGTCCACTTGAGTTGCTGCCTCTTACGAAGGTCATCATCTTAAACGTAAAGTGGTTTCCAACTAACTTGCCTGTTAAAATAAACACACAAACAATCAGATGTTAGTGGACACAATCACATGCTTGGTTTTTGTCTCATTTGTTCTTAGAAGGAGGAAGAGGAGAGAGAAAAAACGTCCGAAGAAGACGAGGAGAGGGACGAGGAGGAGAGTATAAGGCACTCCATATTTGAGAGGGTGGCAGCCTCCGTCAGATCCCTGTCTTTTCGGTATGAATATTATTTACCTGTACTTCTCAGAGTTACTGTTAGTGTTCAGCTAAAAAACATCCACAAATAATTAAAGGCAGAGCATTCCTTGAATGAATGCATATCCCCCACCACCTTTCATGCCAGCGTTTCAAACAAGGATCATCTTATGGTTAGATTTGTCAGAGTTGCAACTATTTTGGTCCAAACATAAAAATAATTTTTGTGTAATCTTGTGAGATCTCATGAGATCTGTTAGAGCTTAAAGTATATGTTGTTGAGGGGGAGTCTCGGCGACTGCCACACCAAATTTTAGCTCCAAATCTACAAAACTGACTGAATTATAGCTGTTTTTGTGTTGGCTAAGGTTGATTAGCTATGGAAGCCATCTTATTATTGGATGCCCCCAAAAGTTAATCTTTTGTAGAAGTACCTTGATTTATTACTTTCTGAAGGTTTCATTAAAATCTGTCCAATGGTTCACGAGATATTTTGCTAACAGACGAATGTGGTTGATTTTCAGCAGTTGGTAAAAATATTTCACAATGTGCAGCCCTCAGAGTATGTGTTGGAGATGATACTTAGCTACTACCACATTAATTTTTTTTAGCACAGTATCAGTAAAACGGTTGATATTAAACTTTATCCAAACTTTTAATTCAATTTGAAAACTTCCAACATTGTGCTCCGACACACAGGTGGCAGTGTTGTCTCGGAGTGAAGCACTGCCGCAGGAAGAAGAAGAAGCAGCTTTCAGACAGAAATCTAAACAATGCAGGCCCTGCGTTTTACGTTCGTCAAGGCAGGGAAGAAAAAAAATTCAGTGTGTATTTCTGGAGTTTACTCCACGTTCTACAAACATTTTAGTAATCTGTCAGAACTTGATTTTACAATAACGCTGCACTGCAAATGCCATGAATTCCACCAAGCACACTCACTGACTGGAAATAAGAGAAGATATGAGGAAGCACACACATGGCTGTGGGAACTTCTTAACAATGGAGAAAAATCTACAGAGAAAAAAGATGAAGACAAGTCGGGATGAAGTGATGAAGATGGAAATGAGGAATGCTGAAAGATGCCGCTTTGTACTTGTAAACATTCTTCTGATACACAAGAAGTCCACTAAAAAATGACAGAAATCATATTTAATCTTGTTTGAAAATTCACCTGTAGTTCTTGGATACTTTGTGTATTAAATTTTTTTATTGTCTTCTGCTGAAGATGAAAGTGGAGCAACATTTTTGCATGTGTGTGCGCGCGTGTGCATACATGCTTGTTTGTTTAGTTGCTTGGTTAGTTGGTTGGTTTACTGGTTCATTCGTTTGTTGGTGCGTTGGTTCATTGGTTCATTTGTTGGTTGGTTTGTTGGTTGGTTTGTTGGTTCATTCGTTTGTTGGTTCGTTGGTTCATTGGTTTGTTGGTTTGTTGGTTCATTCGTTTGTTGGTTTGTTGGTTCATTCGTTTGTTGGTTTGTTGGTTCATTCGTTTGTTGGTTCGTTGGTTGGTTTTTTGGTTCATTCGTTTGTTGGTTCGTTGGTTCATTGGTTTGTTGGTTTGTTGGTTCACTAGTTGGTTTGTTTGTTGGTTCGTCGGTTCACTGGTTGGTTTGTTGGTTGTTTTTTTGGTTGGTTGGTTGGTTCATTGGTTTATTCGTTTGTTGGTTTGTTGGTTCATTGGTTGGTTTGTTGGTCGGTTGGTTGGTTTGTTTGTTGGTTCGTTGGTTCACTGGTTGGTTTGTTGGTTGGTTCATTGGTTGGTTTGTTGGCTGGTTGGTTTGTTGGTTGGTTCATTGGTTGGTTTGTTGGCTGGTTGGTTGGTTCTTTGATTGGTTTGTTGGTTCATTTGTTTGTTGGTACATTTGTTTGTTGGTACATTTGTTTGTTGGT